ATACGCCAATTTTACGACAAAACGAGGTTGCATGGATGAAGTCTACGAATGCATTTAGACTCAGGGCGCAGGCAGGAAATGCAGTTGCTTTAGAGTATTAATATAAGTGGAGCATTTTCCTTCTGGTTGTCGTTAACACTTCGTGAACTAGTTCTGCGATTTTGCTTAAGCAAGTTATCAACTTTGTAACTTTAATAAATGCAAAACTTGTATTCATATTTTGTACCACATCTTGAAATTGTATTGAAGATCTTCAAAATAATTGTTAGACAATATTGCCCATCATGATTATTTTTATAACGTTACGAATATATTTAATGATAAAATATAATTAAATAACATTCCTATTATAATTATGCCTTTTCTTGCAATACGACAGTTTAATATAATAAACTGTAAATTTATAGTAATCAGATAAAATTATCCGTATTACAAATTTGATAACGCAGGGGTCTAACACAACAAAATGATCATAAGGAGAATTTTTAATATGAAATAAAGAGGAGCTGCTAGGAGGATCCACACGATCCAGGTAGTGCTACCTAGGAAGGAATGTTAGAGGCTTATGATTGTTTATGACCAGTGGAACTTAGGGACACAACCTGCGACCTCGTTTGTACAGTAACTACCGTACTTCAGTACAAAAGACAAGGCACCTTTTGCAGCGGGTTCGACTTTGATTGGCCATCATAGAGCATTGTCTTGTCCAAGGACGGAAAGACGTCCAAGGACGGAGTGTTATAATTAAAACATTATAGATCTGCTATCCAAATGATGTAATGGTAACATAAAAACTATATTAATAATTTTTGTCGCATTTTTAAACGACTCTCGAATATTGACAAGACGCTACATATTTATTGACAGAGCTGGTTGGAGTGTATTTTGTCTCGACATCAAATGTTGCAGGTTTCATCAAAGGAGGATTCTTCGTATTCAATCGCCGCTTTTCTCTCATCAAACACCCAAAGTGTTGAGGCTTCAATAAATAGATGAGGAAAATAACAAAATATCCTTTTTCAAAATAATTTATCTTGAGTAGTTTTCATTTTAACTTTTCTGGATGGGACGTTCCACCGCTGCGGGTATTTGTCTGAACGGGGTTCTTCACACAAACCAATGTGAAAGTCGGCGCGGGATCTCAGTAGGGGAGGAAAATCACAACTTCCGGTATGAAAATTGCACTACACTTACGGGATTCATTACCTAAGACGTTAACCTTCAATAAACTCACAACTTTTTAATTTAAAATTTTCCGCCTCACATTTGTCTCCTCGGTCCCTTGATCAAACAAATCCCTCGTTCCATAGTGCGTCTCAACGGCCGTCTCGCGTGCCTCCGTGCCTTGGTAGTGCGCGTGATGTCACGCTCCGAGGAAGAATGGGCACTGAGTAGCGCCGTCGTGCGCGTGCCAGCTGCTCCCCTGGCTCCGAGCGTCTTGTGCAAACTGCGAGGCCACGTGGTCAAGTCAGATGGGACGTCTTCGCTTAGAAGAGCATGGACGTGCCTCGACTAGAGACAGCAAAAAAAATCGATGTATTTAAATCATCGAAATTTTGGAGCACAAACATCGATATTATAATATTGTTCTTATTCTTCAGATCGATATATTTGTGCAGAAGCATAGATATTTTTAAAGAAAATTCTCATGATATAAATAATATTTCCAGTATATATTTTTACTTGTGGATTACTTGCTACCAACAGCCATTCACAACTCTCACCATTGTTGATCCCAGACAGCACAAAACAGTTTGCTATTCGGAACCTTACTCCAGTGGTGTTACTTTTTTTTATTTTGTACGTAGTAAAATTGTTAAACTGCAAATTAAACCTTGACTACCCAAGAAATGTATTAAAAAAATACGATGACGGTCAAATTTAAGGTAGAATATACTTTAAACTAACATTAACGTGTTGTTTATCACATTACAACCAGGGCATTTTACATGGAAATGTTTCATCATATTTAATATATCGATATTTCCAACATCAAGGTTTTTTATCGACGTAGAAAACATTTTGGTATAATATCGAAGTATCGAAATATCGATCTATGAATGAACTTAGCCATCACTAGTTCCGAAGAAAACGGATACCACGACGAATGGGAAAAGTCGCCGTTTGGTGGATAGTACATGAGACACTATTTACTATTACTTGTGTGTAGAATGGGCAGCTTATTTAAATTCAGGAACGTCTCTGAAATGAATATAAGACTCATCAAAAATAGAAACTTCATATAATTAATCAAAATAGGCATCGAATTGATAAGCAACACATTTTGAAAATAAATATTGAGCATTAAAAATAGTAAAATTGTCCGATCGTTCGTTCAGATTAATCAGACTCGACACTGGAAAAGCGAGATTTTATTAGCGATTGAATATAAATGTGGGTCATCAGTTAAATAGTGAACGCATTTGACTCGGACAAATGAGTTCTACCGTACCTTTTATTTTTACAAGAATAAAAATGCACCCCGTTCTGTTGCAAAATTGCATAAACGTTTAAAGGGTAGTTTTATTCTTTGGAATGTAGTTTTGTGTTGTTGTATTGTATGTAGTTTTGAATTGTGTGCTGAATACGTTTTTTTTTTCAGTTTCTGGAACGTTTCTCACAATCAATAACTGCTTTGTTCAACACGTACTATGAATACAAAATTACAAAAGAAGTTTCAAGTGGTGTCACAACTGTTGACAACTTGGGACTTCACAAAACATAATTAGTTTTACTATCCTAAAGGACGCATTCCAATTGAATTCTGAACACGCGCGCATAAAAATTGAGGAAAAGAGATTCTACAAACATTCTATATGCAAGGCGTTGCTCCGTAGTGTCTGCGCATATGCAAGAGAGATTTCAGCCTATACACACAAAAGAGGGAATCCCGTGCAAGCCGTTGTCATTAGTCATTCACGATTCATATGCGCTCTGAAGCGATGAGGAAGTAGTACAAGAATACTTTGTGTGACCTCTATTATTTCCTCGTTACATATTTATATCATTAAAACTCTTGAAGACTAAAATAATGAACATGACACCATTATTTCTTTTCATAAACAAGGGTAAAGAATAACACAGTATGTATGTCGTATTCTTAAAAAAAACTCTACGAAATTGCATCAAACTATAGATGACAGTAATGGTAGCACAACGTTGCAAACAATTCACTAAGGTTCCTTTTTAAAAAGTAGTCTGAAAAGACTGCAAACAGTAGCTCCCGAAAAGATTTCCGTTTATATAGGACAGTTTAATTTTCCGGCCACTGATCATTGAGGTCAGCGACTTCAAACGACGTATCTTCAATACGTGAACGTCTGATCAACGGCGACGCAGACTGCCTAAAGGGCGGAGGAGAGGCAAGGATAAGAAGGAAAAGAAGAAAGGGGCAAAAAATCGTGTCACTGACTTTATCTGGTTCAGCGCCCCTTTCGCGCTTGTAGAGGCGAATTCTTTCTTGATCCAATTTCGTAGAAAGTTCAGGAAGATAATCAGTTTGCATTCTCTGAAAACTATGTCAGTGGTTAGTTTTGTTTTTAAAAGCAGTATTCCATCCTAAACGCTGATATATTAACTACTCCTGTCTTTGAAAGATCACGAATGAATCTACAATTTGAATATGAGAAAATAAAGAATGAATCAAATTAATAGTGCCATAATAGGCTACAGCAGCATTTGTGGTAGTTTCAGCCTCAATGAAAGAAGAATTTATTTAATTCATTAACTGCCACCACATTTTCAAGGTGGGAGGAGGAGTACAAATAGTGAACAGTACGAGCTAGGTTGCCCCTGTCTCCACTGCGACTGACCGGGGAAACCCTGATCTGGCATAGTGGCGTAGATTTAGATGATGTCACATTGAGACACAACTAATAGTCTCCATCCCATAAATTAAATATACAAATATCTATTACTGAATAGTTTATGCATTATTTAATAAAAATATAATATTTTTACGAGACATTTATTTATAATATATTAAAAACTGTACGTAATTCACAATAATTAATACATAATTTTTAAATAAGTAATATAGAAATAATTATAAAATGTTGTAACTGGTGTCACCGGAATGGGACCGTCCCCCCCCCCAAACTGTGCTGGCAGATTTTCGACACCACCCATTTACCTAGGTCAAAATCAGCCGATATCTGGAGAATTCTAGCGACCGGCTGTTCTGATGGGCAGTTTTCCATTTCCGTTTCTCCTATCAATAGCAGGCGAATTCCGGAGCAGTATCCTGAACAACGGGGTAGACACCTGGAAGGGGAAATCCCCCGCAGGCCGGCATGCAGGTCGGCGCTGGTTCTGACTATCTAGCGGGGAAGACATCACAGTCGTCTCCCGCTATAAAACATTCAATGCACTAACGGGACCATAGCTGTATACCTGCTTGGAAACTTCAATCAATCAACAAGTTAGAGGTTGACTGTTTCGGTGCCGGCTTAAATCCTAACGAGGGTTCGGTTTCAGAGAGGGATGTGTTCCATTTAAAATTGATTTTGGGAATACCTCGAAAAGTGCGCGTCGGATCAAAAAAAGCGTGCAATGAAAGTTGTTCGTTAAAAGAGAACCCCCCGTTTTTTATTGCAGATTCGGATTCTCCGTTGAGCGAATAAGCATACTGAAGCACGAGGAGAGTGAAGACGCTTGGCGTACATATACCGCGCCCAGTGATAACACTAGAAACGATGTCTGCTGTCGACGTTGATGTTCCCACCGGAGGGTTGGCGTGTTGGGCCTTGGTCGCGCTGTTCGGTTGACCACGGCGCTCCTTGGCCTGGTGCGGTGGAAGAGCGCCTTGCGTAAGGCGGCAGCGGCGCCGTATGGGCACGCAGCGCTGGGCCGGCCTTTTGCAGCGACGCCGGCTCTGGTCGTATTTTTCGCGCGGGCGATTCGTAAGTCAGACCGCCCCTCCAGGCCATGTCACGCCTTCAAGAGGTTCAGACGAGAACGCAGCCCAAGGAGGGCGTTTCAAAAAAAATAATTTTTTTCAGCGACTTCCTACAACTACTGTTATGAGCATTCAGTCTTGGCAGTTGGCCTCCTGATAACTTTCCTCTACTGAATAATCCCACAAAATATGGGAAACATAAACCAAGTCCAAGAGATGATCAAATTACCTAATTGGATACTTTGCATTCGCAGTGAAGAATACGGGCGTCAATACTAGAGTTTATTACAGTTTGTTTCTTACAATAAACGGAAATTGTATTCATACATTCAAATTATTCTAATATCGTTTGACTGTTTTCTGTCAGTTGGAAATTAACACTTTTCAATTATTTATATAAAATTAGTAATATTAGTTTTGAATCGTTCTGTAGAGGTACTTGCAGAGGAAAATGAGAAATTCTGTAAGAAAAATATGTAATACGAGCTCGTTAATTTTGTAAAATTCTCCTTTAATAAAGTATATCTTGTAAATATGTGTTAATAATAATAAACATTCCTCACAACTCCACAATCTAAATATCGGCCTTAGTAGGCCCCATTTGTACTCTCTATTGCCAAAATAATATTTTCTTTGCAGAAAAATGTTATCATTTAAATAAAATAATTTAATATTTTATCTAAATTTGGTGAAACAATATTTCAAATATTTTTTTATCTTTGTTGGGATCTCTGCTGAAAATTATAGGAATGTATGAATTCACCTTGACCGAACAGCCCTACAATTTCTGAACAACTCAATGCAAGAGACCTCTAGCGGCGACGATGGGTACTGCGTCTGCAGACAGCACCTACCTCTCAGGTATTATGACACCACAAACACGACTTGGTTTCCAACGAAGTAAAAAGCCCCATTAGCGCTGGCTGTTACGAACAGTTCGAGCAACAGAGCAAGAGAGATGTCATGACGTCACTGATCGTTGCAATAAGAGGTCAGTCGAGAACTGGGGAGTACAGTCCGTCTGGAAAGTCCAAAAAGCTGAATAAGACGGGTCAGTTTTGGGGTGAAACATTGTACAGATTCATCCTCTGAAAGATCGCCTTCTCAGTAATGAGAACTTTCAAGAGTTTCCAGGTGAGTAACTAAAAGAAGAGTATATCAAGATTCCCATGAGGTGTCTCTGACAGAAGATATCAACTCGAACTTCCAAGTAGCTTTACCAAATTGAATTGCTAATTAGAAAACATTCTACTTTTAAACAATATATTTCACAAATATTATTTTCTTATTTTATCTTGTGAAACACTTTATTTATGGTTTGAATTTCATACTAATCAACAACAAACCTAAAAGTATGTCCGTTTAAATTAAATTCTCTATTTAATGTTCGGAGAGAGTTTCTGTTGAAAGAAGACGTGTTCGTAAGAACTAAGGGCATAAAGACAACTAGAAAACATATGAAAAGTGGCAAAGACTGACCAAACAATTTGATATTTTCCGGAACAAGGGAATTATGAAGTTTCTTGAATTATTTCTAACAATTTATTTCATTACCTGAAACACGTACTGTGGTGAACAAAATGGTTTTCATTTATGATATGACAATAATTCGTGATAGCCATTGACTAGTAACGAGGCATTTTTCTCTTCTTTAAACATTCAGTTGCCAGTCCATATTCTCATTGCAATCTATTTAACATTCACGTTCATTTTTATTAGTTGATATCAAATAAAGAAGTAGGGTAAAGTAGAAAATAAAATTCAGTATTGTCAGTTACTATTATTGTTACCAGATCTTACAGAAGACATTAAAGAGTAATCCAGATACAATAAAACTTGGTCAATGAGGGATCTCAAGAGATAGTGTTGCACTACAGAAGAATTCGTTTTATAGGGCCGCGATTTATGTTCATATTTAGACATATTTCCACATTGTACACGTTCCGCATTTAGCAAGTTTTACTGTATCCTTACAAAATGTCGAGTTTATTTTTGATCAAACCTAAACTGGTTAACCTGACGCCTGTAGAGATTTACCTTTTCTTGTTATGAAAGTAGCTACTAAAGGGTACTGAGAATTTCGTTCAAATGTGTCTCTAATGCTACTTGCTAATATTTAGACATTCCACTGACCAACTAATACTAATGCTAGCCTTCAGCACTTTATGAAGTGGTACTCGCCACATGAAGTGCCAGATGAATGTACTGAAGGTAAAATATGCGAGACAGTATTACGATGTGTTATGGCCATATTTTAGTGCATATTTTCGCCTTTTTTATACTGCATAAATAGTTCACAGATTATTAGTAAATATAAGTTCGGTCCTTGTGATGTGATCCTGGTCCTTAGTGATCACATATCTTGGTTGTTCATTCACTACGCAGGTTACGGTTTTTTTCAATGACCTATTTAAGCAAAACTGTCACTAAACTGGGAGAAAAATTTATTTTAACATTACATTAATCACGTTATAGATGCATAGACAAATTAAGCGAGTCCTCTAGACCCTTCGCCGGAAACAAACTTTTATATTAGTTCGTAACAGTTAAAAATGGTATTATCAATGTAATCTTTTATAGTTCATTTTCACATTCATGTTGATTACGTCTGTGCAAATTAGGGATACAAGAATATCCTGAAAGGAATCCCTGTTTGATCATGCGTAACGGAGGCTCCTAAAGGTATTAATCCAGTCCTGAATACAATGCAATTACATGCAAAATTACATTACATT